TTTTTTTTATACTAAAACCTTAGATATTTACCTTTCATTTGATATCATTTTTTTGAAAATCTATCACTTAACCTGCTCATTGGGGGGGATTTAAAATGGCAACTTTTTTACAAAAATTAATTTTTTCAACTGAACTTTTGAAAATGTTCCGGAAGGTCTGACACTTTTATATATATCTTAAATTAAAGCTAATGTAATATACTTTATTATGGAAAAAAAAAATTTGTCCCGACGATCTATCTTCTATACGCAAATGGCTACCATATTGAAAATATACTATTTTTGTATGATAATTATGGGTTTTGTATTTTATTTTAAGAGAAGTTGATGTTGCTTTTGTAATTATCCACCAATTTCTTAGAATTAAACACTATCTACTGATTTGCATCGAAGCGTTTCTTATGATAGTGATTTTAATCACTGTCAGATTAAATCTATACTGGACCCAACTATGCAACGTCCCCACTATGCCGCGACCCCACTGTGCTACCGTTTTATTTGTTAAATAATATTTTTATAAAATATACTAAACATTGTGTTTATTTGTGTTTATTGTAAAATATAAATATTCTAAGAATTGATTTTAGGGATACATTACGCAAGTTAAATGGGAACCCTTTATTTTTTTAATGGAAAATGGTCTAAATAAAAAGTTGACTAGTGGACAACCTATATTGTATTATTACTTTTTAAGTTATTATAATTTTTAGTTATAGACGAGCGGGGTGCGCAACAGACAATGTTTTATATATGCTTCATGGTAAAACTAGAGTCGCTAAATATTACATCGCTCCTTACCTTTACTAAGTTTTTGAATGCTAAGAATTCAAAAAGCAATAATACAAACTGTTTATCGACCAGTCAAACTTTTATTTGGACCATTTTCTATTTAATAATAACAAAAAATAATAGGTGCCATTTTACTTACTTATGTTACCATTAAAAACAACTCTTAGAAATAATCTTTTACTTTTTAAAATTTACTTGATATTTACTACGGTTTAAAAAATAAATCAAATAATAATCTGTACATTTTTATAAAAAAAACTATTTGTTATTATTATATAATAGAGGGTAAATGATTGATACTGTGTGNGGTGAGAAGGTATTAATTTTACCATGATGTGTTTATTTTTTTTTTTATTTTTTTTTTTTGTTATTATTATATAATAGAGGGTAAATGATTGATACTGTGTGTATAATATATGTACATATTGGGAAGAGTAACTAATAATAATAAAAATTATACTATTGTTATGGAATTGATTATTTATATATTTAATAAATATATAATATAAATATTATATATTATTTATAATATAAATATTATATATTATTTATAATATATGAACCAAAAAAAATTACCTACCTCTACGAATGTTTCTTTCAACCAAATTTACATTATATAGTTCAACGTTAGCCAAGTCAATTTATAAATCATCCGTAAATTGGCTTTAGACAGTTTTTTTAACTTGTAATTAAAAGTTAAAAATTATAGTTAATAACTGTTATTATGTTTAATTAAAATAATGTCAGTCAGAATACAAAGCTGTCTTCTCTCGGTAGTGTGCTGTAATCTAGTTGACTTTGCACCCTAGATAGATAGTGGGGTACTCTGATCAGACTAGACTAGCGATATAATAAGGTGGTGAGGTATTTGTGTTTTAAGTTTATCGCAGAATAAATTTATTTTTCTTAAGGTCCAATATATTTCAATAAACATTTAAATTGATTAACGGATACTTTTCTATATTAACATTAGTTTATAATGTCGTGTATACAGCTCAAATAAATATGGATAAATAATTTTCGATTGACATTATTCTTATTAGATAATTAAAGAAAAAAAATTTCAATATGCCCAAAAGAAGAAAACCAGCCACTGTTTTTTAAACTTTAACAGAAAAGAAAGTAATTTTCTAATTAATTTATATTGTATTTATCTATGAAATAAATATTGATTACTATTGTAGAAAAACAAAGAAAAGTATTATTGAACATATTGTTGGAATTAAATAATATCTTTTAAACAAAGATTAAAGATATGAAGTTTTAACTGTGATATTTAGAGTAAATCAATATAATTAAAATTCTAATCAATTTTTTTAAAACCCAATTTGTATAATAATTATCCTATTGTTTTTATTGAGCATTAAGATTAATTCAATAACCACTCGTTTCTGTATTTTAATGTTAGCTATCCATCAAGACATATAAATTGTAAGGTTTCAGCCAAACAGAGGGCCTACTAATTACCCACTGCCCAGGGGGAACACTGGACAGTGACCTAGTAGCCGCGCCAAACAAGATAGTACTTGTCGACGGAGCTACTAGGTTTTGAGAAAAACAAATATTAAGAAAAGAGAAAGGCCATGTATAACATAATAACATCTTTTCTTTTTAATTATTGAATATTTTTAGCATATATATAATTTTAAATGTATAGTCATGAAGAAGAGAAAAAAAAAACAAAAAAAGAAAAAGAGGTGCTCTATATAACAGTAATAATGGGTTTGAAAAGGGGGGTTTCAGGTTGTACTTGATTGTTGATTGAAGGGTGACGGCCCACCACCGGCCATAGCTGCGCCTCACATCACCATCATCATCATCTCGACATTTATTTTAATAAAAAAAACGGAGGACAAAAAAAATACAGCCTGGTTGACTCCAAAGTAGACGGCAGATCAACTCGACGTTTTATTTAAAAAAACGGAGGACAAAAAAAATACAAAAAAGAAACGTGGTTTTCAAAATATAATTATATAAAGAAAACACGAGTTGTTGCCTCGACGGTATAGGTGCACAGTGTACGGTCAGCTGATGATGACAGATATCGGACCGGTTGACAAGTGGAGGTTATCATATACAAAATTATGAAAATACTTTACACCTACTGCACATACATCTAATTGATAAGATTAATATAAAAAAAAACTTGTATAAATTCTGCAACATTACAAAGTGATATACAATTTATAAGTTTTCATCAATATTTAATCATATTTAAAATTTAATTTCAAATTTACAGGACAAAGTTTATGAT